CATATCAATTACTATATTAAATAAAAGTGGCTTAAACACCCTAATCAAAAGGCAGAGTATGTTGGATAAAAAGAAAGACATGTAATAGTTGGCCACATGAGAAGTATTCTGAACATAAAGAAATTGATTGAAAATAAATCAGTGGAAAGAGATATACCATGAATAATACAGTAAACATTAAAAACTGGTGAGACTTATTAATATTAGATAAAATAACCTTTAAATCAGGGAGTATTTTGACAGATAAAGAGAGACATTTTATAATGAGAAGAGGCTTAATTAATCAAGAAGACATATTAATCATAAATGTGTATGCTCCTAATAAGAGAGATTCAGAGTATACTCTGGACACCCAAAGCATGAAGAGCTTCCAGAATGGTGAAAGCATTGATGTATTGGGTGACTCCATGGGGAGAGGACATGGAACCCCCTTATCCAGGACCCTTCTGGACTATGTACCTCTTTCATTTGGCTGTCCCTGAGTTGTACCTTTATAATAAAACTGTGTTCCTAGGTATAGTGTTTTAAGTGAATGACAACCAATTATTGAATCTGAGGGTGTTGTGAAAACCCCTAAATTTATAGCTGTTCAGTCAGAAGTGCAGGTGACCTGAGACTTGTGGCTGACATCTGAAGTAAGGGCAGTCTTGTGGAGGACTAAGTCTTGGAGTCTGACCTTAATTCTGGATAGGTAGTTAGTGTCAGAATTGAAGTGCAGCACACATAAGAGGGTTAGAAACAGAGCACAAGTGCATATGGTGTGCTTACCAAGATGGATCATATGCAGGGTCAAAAAATAAGTCATAATAAAATTTAAAAGACTGAAATCTTGAAGAGTATGTTCTCTGACCCCTACCTTATGAATAGACCAATAGAAATTAGGAAGAAAAATCTCCAAATATCTGGAAATTAACACAGTTTTAAATAATCCGTGGGTCAAAGAAGAAAACCCAAGAGAAACTTAAAAATATTTCAAACTGGACAACATATCAAAATTTGTGGGATGCAAATAAACCAGTATGTAGAGGAACTTAATAGTTTTAAATGTTTAAGAGTAAAGAAGAAAGATAGAACATCAGTTATTTAAGTGTCCACCTATAGGAGCTCAAAAAAGAAGAACAAATTAAATCCAAAGTAAGTAAAAAGAACAAAGAAAATAAGTGAAAGACTAAGAGCAGAAATAATTTATATATATAACAAAACAAAATTAATAAAGTTAATAAATTAATCATTTGAAAAGATTATTAAAATTGGCAGAATCCTAGGAATACTGATGAACAAAAGAAAGAAAAGCATAAATAACTGACATTAGTGATGAAAGAGAGATATAACTACAGATCCTATAGATATTAAAAGAAAAAGAATATTATGATCAATTTTTACTAATGAATTTGATAACTTTAAATGAAATGGACATGTTTATCACAAAGCACAGCTTAAATCTAACACAAGAAGCAATAGAAAAAATGAATTGCCCTAAATATATTAAGGAAAATGAATTTATAATTAGGAACTTTGAGATAAAGAAAACTCCATACCCAGAATATTTCCCTGCAGAATTCGAGCAAACATATAAGGACAAAATAATAAATCATGCACAAAAATTTTTTTCAGAGTGAAGCCAGCTTAACCCTGATAGAAAATATCAAAAAGAGAAGTATGAACCAATATCCCTCACGAACATAGACAAAGAACTCCTTAATGAAATATTAGCAGATCAATCCCAGCAATATATAAAATATGCAAATGAGGTCTATAATATCTACAGTTATACAAATGATGATCAAGTGGGCTTATCCCAGAAATGTAAGGTTAACATTTAAAGATCAATCAAGCAGTGCCTGGGTGGCTCAGTTGGTTAAGCATCCAACTCTTGGTTTTGGCTCAGGTCGTGATCTCAGGGTGGTGAGATCAAGCACCATGTTGGGCTCTGCACACAGTGTGGAGTCTGCTTGAGATTCTTTCCCCCATCTTTTCCCTCCCCATCTGCTTCTCCCCCTGTTCGTGTGTGCTCTCTCAAATAAAAAGATAAAAATCTTAAAAAAAATAAAGATCAACCAAGATAATTCACCATATTAACAGGATAAAAGAGACAAATTATATGACCATTGAAATAGATACAGCAAAACCATTTACAAAATTTGATATCACTTTTTCCACCTACTTTCCCTCCCCTTGAGTGCTGCTCTAGCTGCATTGCTCTTGCTCTGAACTTTGGGTTCCTGCTAAGCCAGGGCTGCTGTTCTCTTTCTCTGGCTGTCGTCATATTATCTACCTGGACCTCATCAGTCATGATGAGATGTTCTCTGACATCTACAAGATTCAGGAGGTTGCAAATGAGCTGTGCCTGGAGGTGAGTGAGAAAATAGTAGGACAGAAGGTACCATTGATGGAAATGGACTTCTTGAAGGCCCCCAAGGCAAAGGTACTGAAAGCACAGTAATCATTGGTGTTGATGTTGTCGGGAACCATTACTTACAGGAAACAAGCTTCACAAATGAAGCCTATGAAAAGTACATCATAGATTATAGGAAATCAGTCTAAGGCAAACTTGAAGAACAGGGATCAGAAAGTGTAAACCTTTTGAGCACTGTGAATTGTGCAAGACTGTTGAATCACAGATCTGTACCTCTGAAACAAATAATGCAATATATGTTATTGTGATATAATGGTGATATAAGGCAATATAATGTGATAAACATGTCCATTTCAATTAAAGAAGAAGAAGATAGCAGGAGGGGAAGAATGAAGGAGGGGAAATTGGAGAGGGAGACGAACCCTGAGAGAAGATGGACTCTGAAAAACAAACTGAGGGTTCTAGAAGGGAAGGGCGTGGGGGGATGTGTTAGCCTGGTGATGGGTATTAAAGAGGGCACGTTCTGCGTGGAGCACTGGGTGTTATACACAAACAATGAATCATGGAACACTACATCAAAAACTGATGATGTAATGTATGGTGATTAACATAACAATAAAAAATTTAAAGAAAAAAAGAAAGTGTAAACCTTTTATAACAGAGGCTGCAGACAAATAAAGCACATCTTTGCTAATTCAAAACTACCAGTTCTTTATTGGTGAAAACATGAATTCAGATGGCATGGTTGCTCTGCTGGACTACCATGAGGATGGTGCAACCCTATATATGATTTTCTTTAAGGATGGTTTATAAATAAAAAAATGTTAACAAAATGGCAATTACTTTAGATCTATCACCTGTTATCATAACTGGCTGCTGCTTTTCACACATCCACACAACACCAGGACTTGGACAATTGGGTGATGTCATCTTGATCTCTTCATTTATTTTAATGTTGATTTATTTGGAGTGGAGTCATTTTTTTTAAAAGAAAAAACCATATCATGTAGGTTACCTAAAAATAAAATGCATTTAAACTTATTTGAGAGAATACCTCTTAATTTAATATGTATTTAAACTAAGTCTGTCTTATAGTGTTCTGGAGAAGATAGAGCCTGGTTGTAGACCACAAATAGAAAGCATAAGACTGTCTTCAGATAACTTCTACAGGGAAAACACTTCTGGGACTGGTATATAAAAAACAACAAGAATTACAAGTCTTAATTCTAAGTTGAAGTAAAGGAAAAGACCATATTCATAGAGTGCCAAATGTAAAGTGGATCATTATACATTTCATCACCTACAAACAGAAGTAGTTAACTCTGGAAGACATTATCAAAAGAATAAAAAGAGACTTATACAATTGGAAGCAAAACAAAAACAATGTCATTGATGTTAAAGACTCTCAGCAAACTAGGAATACCTGATAAAAAGTGGTATCTACTGTTAAACATCATACTTAATGGTGAAATATTGTGAGCTTCCCTCTAAGATTGGGAACAAAGCAAGTATGTCTGTTCATACCACTTTTGCTCAATACCATGCCAGAGATCCTGACAGGTACAATAAGGCAGATAAAGAAACAAAAAGCATGCGGGTTGGAAGGGAATAATATGAGTTTTTATATAGAAAATTCCAACTCTTAAGGACTCTGTAAAGCAACTACTAGAACTAGTAAACAAAATAGCAGCACATAAAGTCAATATAAAAAATTTCTTTGTACTAACAGAAAACAACTAGGAAATGAAAATTTAAAAATACCATTCAAAATATCAAGTTTCTAGGAATATATTTAAGGAAATCCGTGTAAGATTTTTACACTGAAAATTATAATGTATTGCAGAAAAAAACTAAAGAAGATCTAAATAGACACAGAGATATATCATGTTCATGAACCAAAAGACTTAATATTGCTAGGATATCATTTATTTCCAATTTGATCTATTGATTCAGGGAAATTCTAATGAAAATTCCAACAGACATTTTTTTCAGTATAAATTGAAAGTTCATTTTAAAACTTATAAGCAAATGCAAAGAAATGTAAATGGCCAAGAAAATCTTTAAAAAGAATAAATTTGGAGAACTCCCTACCTGATTTCAAGGTTTATCAATGATGTAATTAGAAGAGTATGATATTGGCATAAAGAGAAACATATCAATGGAATAAAAAGAGACTCCTAAAACAGACTCATACATATGGTCAATATTTTACAAAGATGTCGAAACAATTCAAAGGACTCAAAAAAGAAATAACTCTTAGCACCCAGATCGGTTCTTTAAAAACCATTTCCCAATAAAAGAAATAGGACTCCTTGGTGGAAAAAAAAATCTGATTACCTTTTCTATGTGAATTATACTTGAGGATAACCAAATAGTTAACAGTCAAGGAAGAGAAATTTTCCTTTATAGAATTTTCAGGTAATAACTGAAGAAAGAATGTTGAAATTAGAATATCAGGATTTTGCAATTCTTTGTGAATTCATGGGGGGATGAACAGCACCAGTGAAGTATACTTGTTGGAAAAAAATAAATCAAACTGGAAGCAGGGCAAGCATTTAAATCTAACCAACAATTTACAGAAGATCCGGGGACAGAGAAACATTTAGAATGAAACCATGGGGATGCATCAATAGATATTCCGACTATGGAAACTCTTCAAGACAAACAACCTGGATTCTTCAACAAAAAAATTGAAGTAAAAAAAGAGATGAAACCTATAGATTAAAAAAGACTTAAGAGACATAAATCCAATGTTTGGACCTTATTTTGATCCCATTCGAAACTAATGCACTCAAAAATTTATAAAGTATAAAGGAAATGTGAACACTAGTTATTCAATAATGTTTTGAAGGATTTTTTTGCTAATTTCTTTTGTTAGGTGGGATTATATTATTATGGTTATGTTTCTATAAAAATAATTCTTGTCTTTTTAGAGACACATGATGAAGTATTTATAGATTAATATAATTTGGGGGATGTAATTCAAAATACTGGCAGAAGTGGGTACATGTATAGATTAAACCAAGTAGATCCCAAAAGTTGATAATTGGTTGAAGCTGATTGTGGGTACATAGGGCCTCAGGATATTATTTTCTCTGCTTTTGTAAGTATTAGAAATTTTCTTTAATAAAAAGTTTTTTTTTAAATTACACATGGCCCATACTTAATCTTCAGAATATGAAGACTGGTCTTGACCATGCCAGAAACTTCACTTTCCATATGCTATTTTCATCCCCCAGTGCCAGTGCTGCTTATTTCTCAATATTGTTGGGTAATGTTATCAAAATTAGGAAGTAAATAGATAATACTTTTTTCCTTCTTTCTTGATGGTTGGAGATACAATGCTTTGTTGTTGAGGAAAGGTATATTGGAAGATATAGTAACCACAGAGGGCTTCCCTCTCCTTCATCCCAGAAGTAAACTTACCATGTAGGCATAGGCATGACTAACTGATATCAGATATCCTTCTTCTTCATGGATGGCCCAGGAAAATTATTTCATTTGGACCCAGGAAATTTACCCATGTCTGAAGAAAGAATATGTCATCCTATAGGCAGGCAGGCTCTGACAGAGCAGTCACCTTGGAAAAGTTGAGTGGGACAGGCTTGATTTCTTCTACACTCACCAAGAAGATTGAGTAAAGGCCAAGAGTGCCTCCACTTGGAACCCTGAAGTCAAGGAAATGGAGAGAACCCTTTATGCAGCTCTGTGCTGCTGGAAGTCTTACTGTAGAATCAGTGGGTAGAAGGATGGAGCTCATAACATCAACAAAATGGAAACAACCCTTTATTGAGTATGTCCCATGTGCCAGTGACTGTGCTAAGGAGGGAAATTCACATGGGTCACATATGGCACACCTATTATTCACACCTACACAAGACTGACTTGAGGCATTCATATTACATTGCAGAACCAGATGACTTCCTAGGTCTCTTCCAACCTCAAGGACCATGAATCTTGTTAGCGATATTTGTCCTCTACTTGGTAGAGGAAGGTTGGTACCTTCCCTCCTCTATGCGTGGATTACCCTTAATAGTAACACCAGCTTAAGAGGGGCTGGTCTTGAGTTACCCAACTATTTGTTGGGCTGCAACCTGGCTTATAGGTGGATCTAAGGGGTTTGTTTGTTTGTTTGTTTTTGTCTCAAGAATTTCTAAGGATATACACAGATGCATCAGGGACTCTTGGGAAATGAATACATTAGTTACATAGTACCTCTGACTTAGGCAAAAACAAGGTTTTCTAGAAGATTTCCTTCTCCATAGGTTTGACCTTTGTATCAGGGAATTGGACATATTATGCCGCAGACTGATGAATGTAACCAATGTATTGTGGAAACTTAATAATTTGCATATACTAAAACCTGTTCTTTAAAACTTTATCTTATTCGTTTAATGTCCTTACTTACATAGGTAGTGACTGTGGACCAGGAATTATGGACCTCAGTCTGTGCTGTCTAATATGGTAATGACTAGCCATATGTGGCTATTTAAAGTTAAGCTTAAATTAATTAAAATTAAATGAAATTAAAAATCCAGTTGCAATGGTCATATTTTAGTAGCTCCAATGTCCACACATGCTTGGTGGCTACTATATCAAGCAACACAGACATAGCACATTTCCATCATCATAGAAAGTTCTTTTGAATAACAATGTTCAAGCTTTGATTTGCATAATAAAAACATTTAAATATTTTTATATTCAGTTCTTTTCCTGTTATATTTTCTATCATATTCAGTTTTCAGAAAAAAATGTGTAGTGAAATCTGAAAATACATTTTTTTCCATGTGCTACTTGCAGGTTATTGAAGAAAAAGGGGAGTTCAGTGTTCCAAGCTGCTATGGAAATATTAAAAATGATAACGGTGGTTCTAGCCTTGATTTTGAGTATCTTTTGGATGATGTAAATGTGGTTGATTTGAAATGGATCCATAACTTTGTGTTGAAATCTCTGGAACTTTTATATCAAGTGGAAAAATGGGAAACACTGGTATCACTTGCTATCCAATTCAATACAATTTCACAGTAAGTATTGCTGTAAGGGCAATTAAAAGTGACAAGCTTCCATTTATTTATTTTTTTATTTTTTAAAATTTTATTATGTTAATCACCATATATTACATCATTAATTTTTGATGTAGTGTTCCATGATTCATTGTTTGCGTATAACACCTAGTGCTCCATTCAGTATGTGCCCTCTTTAATACTCATCACCAGGCTAACCCATCCCCCCACCCCCTCCCCTCTAGAACCCTCAGTTTGTTTCTCAGAGTCCCATAGCCTCTCATGGTTCATCTCCCCCTCCGATTTCCCCCCCTTCATTTTACCCTTCCTATTATCTTCTTTTTTTAACATATAATGTATTATTTATTTCAGAGGTACAGGGACAAGCTTCCATTTAAAAAATGCATTTTAACTAATGTCTGCTTTTTAATGTATTTCTACCTCTCTCTAGTGAGAGATACACAGAGCAAGTGACACCACTCCTGGTGTATGCACAGCGTCAGCTTCTTCTAAGAATATCCAAGTTCAATGGCCCGGATGTTACCCAACAACCTTGTGCAAGATATGAGGCTGAATACAAAGAGAAGGTGAGTTTGGCTCTATTATTCATGCAGTTGTGATTTCTGAGGAGTGCACGTATAAAATACAAATATTTAGGGATCAGATAAATATTATTTTTACTTAGGCATTTATCATTTAAATCAACAAACGTTAATGAAAGCCTGCTATATGCCAATATTTTCCAGGTACAAGGTAAACAAAAATTAAGTCCTTATACATAGGAAACTTACATTCAGGCCAGAGCTGATATATTCATTAGGCACAGTGAGGACATTGTCTAGAGCCACCAAACTTTTAGAGGCCCACTAAATGTTTTAATTTTTTTTAATGTGAAGAAAAAAGTAACTTTTAGGTCAAAGAAAAGGTTTTAATTTTTACTAATACTGTATTTGTATTTATGCCAACGTAATCATATGATACAATTTTTAATATTTTTTATGGAGGTGTGGGCCCATGAAAGTGAAAGTGTGTAAGGACCATGAAAATCATGATGCATCTTTGAGTTAGGTGGAGGAAAGGGAAGTAAATTCTTTCATTTATTAATTTAATAAATATGTATTGACTGTCTAATACCAGAACCATGGCATACAGTTATACAGTTTGCGACCTGGCCCAGGGCCCCCAGTGTACATGAGGACTGAAATCTAGTCCCACCTCCCATACCACTCTGTGTGCTTGGGGTGTTGCGGCCACACAGTGAGGACTCCATTTTCTTCTCACAGAGGTTCCTTATGGCCCTTCCATATTCTTGCCTCCTGCGTATTCTAACACAATGAGAATACAGTCTGAGTTCTTGCTTTATGGAGTTTAATTTTGGAGGGGTAGAGGTAGGACCAGATAATAAACATGTAAACAGATACATAAACAGGTTTATGATCATTATGAGTTCTCTGAAGAGACTAAAATGGGTCCATGGGTTAGAGATAGGTGGGGTGGGAGGTAGAAATCTGGAATGCCTCTTGGAAACGGTAGCCTTTGATAAGAAATGGCCAGCCATACATAAGAGAGAGCCTTCCAGCCCAAGGGAAGAATAAGGGCAAAAGCCCTGAGGTGGGACAAGAAGAAGGCCTGAGTGGCTGGAATGTCACAGATAGGGGCGAGAGTGAAAACAGGGGGGCTTTGCTTCTTCCTCTTCTCCCCAGTGTCTTAATGGTAGTGTGTTCCAGGACTTTGTTCTTGGTCCTCCTGTCTTCTTTATCCACATCCTCTCCCTTGGTGAGCTCATTCAGTCTGTGGCTCTAAATACTGTCTTTATGATAATGACTTTTGAAATTACAGCTTCACTCTAGACCTTTCTCCTGAATTCTGTGTTGACATGTAATTCCCTGTATCAGTCAGGGTTCAATCAGAGAACCAGAACCAGTAGGATCTATTATCTATCTGTCTGTCTGTCTATCTGTTTTTCTATCTGTCATATATCCATCAAGATTTATTGCAAGGAATTGGCTTATGTGATTGTGGGGGCTGGCCAGACGAGTCCAAAATTATAAGGTGGTCAGTCAGGATTGTGAGCAGGAAGGAAACTTACAGGTGTGGCCAGAAGCTGTTATCCTTAGGCAGTCAGTGAGGGGTGATCCAGTTAGTAGACTTGGATGCTGTTTGGAGTCTGGAGACCCTCCAGCAGCACATCAGTGACTCAACTGCTTAGAACAGGCCCGCGAAGATAATCTCTTTAGTTTAAAGGAAATTTATTAGGGACTTTAATTAGTATCTGCAAAATCCCTTCAGAGTGGCAGCTAGATTAGTGTTTGAATAGCTGGGATGAAGTGTGTGTATGCTGCAAAATGGATACTTCCCTCCCTTTTGTCCTCATAGTTTAGCCTAACCAAGTTGACCCATCAAAAAACCATCATGCTGCCTAATTAACATGTCTAATACACTTCTGAAATTTAGTATATTTCAAGCAAACCTGTTCTGACAAGTCTTCCCCACTTCAATTGATGACAACACTGTTCTCCTAGTTGCTCAGGCTAGACACCTTGGAGACATCTCAGACTCCTCTCTTGCTTTCATTACCCCACTTCAAAGTGGTTATCAAATCTTCTACCTTCAAAATGTATTCAGAATCTGACCACTTATCACCACCTCCACCACTCCTGCTCTGATCCAAGCCCCTGTTACATTTGCTTGGATTCATGCAATGACTTCCTAATTAGTCTTCTTGCTTCCAACCTCCCTGAATCCCTGCCTCCAGCCTAGTCTATTTTCAATGCAGCAGGTAGAATGACCCTTTAAAAACCTAAGTCAGATCATGCCATTCCTCTTCTTTAAACCCTACAGCAGCTTCCCATCTGATTCAGAGATAAGGTGAACATCCTTATCATGGCCTTAATGCCCCATACGTTCCCCTGTCATCTCCAGTGACTCATCTCCTAATACTCCCCTGCAGGTTTCAGCTGCTTTGTTCTTTAAGACTTCCTGCCTTGGGATCCTCTCATTTGCTGCTCCCCTGCTTGGGACGCTTCTCCCCCAAATATCCACACTGATTTTTTCTCACCTTTTTCTAGTCTTTGCTAAATGTCACTTTCTGTGTGAGGACTATTCTCACTATCCTATATAAAATTATGTACCTGTTTGCTCTATTTCTCTCTACAGCATTTATAACTCTTTAATGTACCCTTCTATTTTCTTCATTATATTTCTACTCCCTCTAGAATAAGTTCCATAAATATAGGAACTTTTGTTTGCTTTGTTCACTGTATTATCCTTGAGCTTGGAATAGTGACTGACACATAACAAGTGTTCAATTAAGGTTTATTAAATGAAGCTGGGAGGTGGGAAGGACTAGGTCAAAGAGGGCCTTATTAGGCTATGGGAAAGAATTTGCATTTTATTAGACTGTTTACATCTCATTGTATAAGTACCTACAAGGGACAGTAAAGAAGCAGCATCTACATCAGACTGAGATTCAGAGAGGTCTGTATTTTGAGAAATAGGTTAGTTCAAGGAATAGGAGTGGAGAAACAAAGGTTCTTGGACTTTTTTTTTTTTTTTTAGGGAGAGGGAGAGAGCAGGTGCACCCACTAGCAGAGGAGGGGCAGAGGGAGAGAGAGAATCCCAAGCAGGCTCCATGCTCAGCATGGAGCCTGATGCAGGGCTCGATATCACAACCCTGAGATCATGACCCAAGCTGAAATCAAGAGCTGGATGCCTAACTGACTGAGCCCCCCAGGTGCCCCAGTTCTTGGACCTTTTAAAAGAATTTGCTTTTGTCTAAAATTTTTCTGATTTCAGATATTTTATAATTTTAGGACTTAAGTGTTAGAAAATAAATTTTTAAAATACTACAGAGGAAGTTAGTTCTGAAAAACTTCACCAGGGAAGTTAAAATTGCATTCATTATAAGTGGGGTGGAAAAATCAGCCACTGGAAAAGCAGCCTATATTTTAGATATGTTTCAACTTGCGTAATAGAAGATATATTTAGACTAGTGGATTTATAGAATATCAGAAAATCATATTCTAATTGCTCTACATAATTTGCCTAATGCTCCTCCAGCTGTGCTGAACAAAAGAAATATAAAAAGTTATATGGCTACTTTTTTTTCATGAAAGTTGTCATGATCAAGTGCTACTCTGCTAGCTTTTATTTGTAGCATCCTTTTATATTTCTTCTTTTTGACAAGGGAAAAATAAGATAAACATTTGAACAAATTTTTAGCCATAAATACCTGACCAAATAGTATTTGTTTTCCTTTTTCCTTTTTAAGATAACCTGCCGAAATTTCATTGGGAAGCAGCTCAAGATTAATCCTTCAACCAGTGAAGTAACAGGCACAGAAAACTGCGCAGATATCCTAAAAAAGTTTGTCTATTCAGGTTGGAACCATTTTAGCTTAAAGCTTTTTTAAAGCAAGGTTTGCTGTTGTGTTCTGCATGTCAGCTCTTCCATAATTAAAATGTTTGTAAAATCTCTTTTGCAGGCTTATTGGACTGAAAATAACCCATTTGATATTTACCATCTTATGTTGCTATAAATGTCACATAAGGGGAATTAAAACGTGTTTATTAGTTTAATCTGTAAATTAAAGAAGGGAAGGAAAAAGAGAACGGAAAATTATTTGAAAAATAAGCATGAAAAAGACTGTTGTGTACATTTCCCCCTGTTTTTATTTCACTTGGGAACTCTTCAAATTGAGCTGTTGCTATTCTCTTTGAAGCTCTGTCTTGACTCTCATAGTAACTCCCATTCCCATAATCAGTGTAGATTGTTCTCCTATTGGCTGTATCATGGTTAAGTTGTAGGTCTTTTCACTACAGCACAGGAGAAGACAAGGGGACGTCATGGCTCCTCTGCTTTCAGCCGAGAAGACCTCTTAGAATATTTTGGCAGTGCAGCTTATAGGATTGAAGCAATAGAATAAGATGAAAATGGGGAATAATGCTTTCTCTCAATTGCGCTTGTCATGTGCCTCTGTTTCTGGTATAGGAAAGGAATGCAGATCTTCCCTTTGCCATGTTAGGATTCTTTCATTTATTTATCTATTGATTTTATGTATGTATGTGTGTAGGTATGCAATCATCTATTCCTTTATTGAGACAGCTAGGCGGCCATTCAATCATTCAGCAAACATTTACTGAATGTCTACTGTGTGTTAAGTGCCATACTGGGTACTGAGACTACAAAGAGACTAAAGATTTATTGAGATTAAAGATTTGTTATCTTGGAATTTACAACCCATTGAAAGAGACTGATAAAGCAGAGACTGTGGTATAGAGTGATAAGATCTGTCATATTATGGCTAACCCTGCTGTTTTCCACTGTAAGCAGTAGTAGTAAACAGCATCGCTGTGCAGAGACTGTGTGTAATTTGGTAGAGCTAAAGGAAAAAGGAAAAGGCAAAGCTGAGGTTAGAAAGGTTGGCAGAAGGCCTTAGAAGGCAGGATAAAGAGATGCAGATCTATCTGGAGGGCTGAAGGGAACTAGTTATAAGGATTTAAAGAAGGGCAGTGAAATGATCATATTTGCCCTCTGGAAAGAACCTTAGGCAGCAGCGTAGGGAATCAATTGAAAGCACAGCACATGGAAGCAGAAGAGCAGCTACTCCTAACTTGTACATTAAAGATGTGATGAGGCTCTGGACATAGGTGAGGAGAATACAAGAGTAGACAGATATGAGAGAAAGGCTGAGGAAGTAAGTCCCCAGGACTGTGTTCTATACTGGTTAGATGAGGATGGGAGGAGTCCAAGATGCCTTGGTTTCTGCTTGGGTGGCTAGATGGATGTGATGTATTTACTCTACAGGAAAACTGAAGGGAGGAATAGGTCAGAGGAAGTTACTTAAGAAGTACTGAGTTTGAGGTGCCAGGATGATACCTGAGTAGAACTATTCAGTATATGGTTAGATAGACCAGTCAGGCATTCAGCAGAGATTTATATTTTCATTATCCATATATTGGTGGTGGTTGAAATCAGGGGCTTGTAGGAGGTCACCCAGGGAGAGATTTATGGAGTATAGACCTGAGGATGGCCTCACTTTGGAAGCTGTGTCATTCAAAGTGGGCTACGCTATACAGTAGTAATAAACAACCCCCAAATCTCATTGCTTTCACACAAGGGCTAGTCCATTTTTTTTTGCTCATGCTACTGTGTTTGAAGAGTTGAGTACTGAGCTGCTGCTCATCATAGGTTGATGGAATCTCCATCTTGACACAAGTTTCCATAATTGTTTCCAAGGCAGAAAGGAGAACACGAATTTACCCTCTAGAGGAGCCATACTGAGAGGCTAGGGCAGAAGGGAAGGAGAGAATGGGCCCCAAAACAGGAAGTTTATAGGTGGTAAGGGCAGAAGTTGAAGGTATTCTCATTGGGTACTGAAGATTTTCTTAATAAAGAAAGGGGTTGAGAGCATAGCCAAGGTTGCTAGGGTAGGAGATTTCAGGAGGAATCTGAAAGAGTGGCCTGGCCCCTCAGGGAAATAGAAAGAAGATGGAAGGGCTTCAGAGCAGTGTAGAGGTTCCTGTTGAGGGAGTTGGTAACCACAAACTTGTGAGTTTTACCACCAACGATAAATCAGATTATCCCCTCATATTTATTAAACAATGGAGGTCCAATCAGAGTGTGATTCATCCTGGTTATGTTCTTCTTTTCTTGATCACATCTGTCAAACCTCTGGGGATCTGTCAATTTGGGATCTACAATTCAGAATGTGATTTATATTATCCCTTCCATCCTAAAAAGAATGGGCAACAAATGTGAGAAAATATGTCAAAAAAAGCTTATTATCAAATATGATGACTAGCACCTAAGGGATAAGAAAAACATGCCTAGCATGTGTGACCAGTAGGTCTTATAGATGGTGGACGCAATATGTCAGAAAAGCACTTTGCCTTCTAGTTGTTAAAGCTACATTTGGAAAGGTACAATAGCAGGTGGTGGGACAGAAAGGAAGATAGGTCGGATCAGCTTACTGTAATTATTTAGGTTGATTCTCGGTGGTGGTGGAGCTATAGTCAGTTTGAGCAATGACTACAGCAGGAATATTTGAATGGATAAAGTCTAAAAAATATTGTAGTGGCAGTAATAATGAATTGGGCCACGTACTATATTGAGCACATTATAACCATTAGCTTTTTAAATTTTTATAATTTTAGAGGGTAGATATTATGCTTACATTACAGATGAGAAAATTAAATGTTACTAGTAAATAGAACTTTGGTTCAAACCCTCATCTGTCTGATTGCTCAGCCTGTAAGTGCTCCACCAAACTCCTTGATCTATTCACCATTTGTCCTCTTTTAGGTTAGTCTCTCCTCTAAACTGATAGCACTCAGAAAAATTTTGCTATACATCAGTGGTCATGGGGAGACAGATACTTGATTCTGACTTACTGTGATAGTATGGTAGTTTTTAGATGATCCTGCATACTAATTGTAAGTCTTACATTGAGTCATTATCATTAAAATCTTGGCATCCAACTTACAGCTCTTTATAAGACTCTAGGACCTCTGTGACTAGGAGCATATTTTGGCCCACGCTTTTGGGCTCATTTGGCAAATTTTTAGGAGGGTGAATTTTCTTTCAGTGTCCTGAACTCAGATCATTAACATGTTTATAAGCATGATGGGTCTAAGGTATGTCATCATGACATGTTTGCAGTACTTTGGAAAGACCAAGTATACTCTTGCTGGTTTCCACACCAGATTGCTGCTTTAGAACATCATAGATTTTCTTTTGGCATAACAGCATTGGGCGGTAATACTTGATACATTTAATTTTTCAGAACAGATATTGTAATGCTCCAGTGCCTACGAACATTTGGTGTTCTCATTATTTAACAGCATTCTATTCTCCCTCTAACTATTTAATAATGCATATGTAATTTGGTATAGTCTCTGTAGGATGTGGAGAAGTGAGAATACCTCACTTTATAGATTATTTTTTGTATGGATGAGTAACTTGCCTGTTTGTTAGGCTTCACAGGGGAGATAACTATGAATATGCTTTTTATTGTAGCTGTTTTTGCATTCTGTCTAGGATCTGTTTCTTGAGTTTTGACCTAATTGGTATTTAAGTTATCTCTGATAGGGTTCTTCAGTCTTCAGGTATGTTGGAATTTTCAACCTTTGGCAGGTGTGTTTTATTACTGACTTTGGGCTTTTGGATTAATATGACCAATTGTGTAGAAAGCAGCCCAAATTTTATAGTATTCCCTGGGATTCTTCCTTGGTTGACCCATCTCTCAGGAGTCGTTAGTATTTCAGGTTTTTTTTTTCTTTTAAGATTTATTTATTTATTTTAGAGAGAGAGAGAGAGGAGGAGGGGGAGCATGGGGGTAGGGGCAGAGGGAGAGAGAGAGAGAATCCTGAAGCACACTCCCTGCTGAGCTTGGAGCCCTATGCGGGGCTTCCTGTCATGACCCGAGCTGAAATCAAGAGTTGGAGGCTGAACCAACTGAGCCATCCAGGCGCCCTGGTCTTCAGTTTAATGAATACATTAGGACAATAAGAGACATAGTAATTCTTTTCTTTTTTTCCCTCCTTCCTCTTTCTCTTCTTCCTTTTCTCCTCCTTCTCCTTCTTCCCCACGCTCCTCCTCCTCCTTTACTTCCTCCTCCTTCGCCTCTTCTGACCTATTTCTAACTGTTGAGGTTATTAGTGCCTTTGAAATAGCTTCTTGAATTATTCACGAAAGTCTTCAGAGAGGAGCTCCCCTTGAGACAGAGAAGAAAGGACAGGCCTCTGAAGCTAACGATACTTCTTCATTGCTTTCACTAGTTGTCTTGTGTAGATAGTCACAAAATCACCAGTAGAGCCCTAGTTAGACTACAAGAAAAACGGTTTTCTAGGGCTTGAAAAAAAAATGAAATATAGTTTAGGAAAAAAACAAGGAGGAATGATTTATAAGTGGATATTTGATAAAAAGTAGCAGGATGATTTTATTCAGACCCCACATTTTAGAGAAGACTGTCCCCAACATCTCCTGTCCCTCCTGTCCTTTTGATGGCCTCCAAATACAAGCATGCTTTTGTGAATTTTTATTCCAGAATGAAAGCTCCGTGAGAGCAAGGAGTGTGTCTGTTTTGTTCACTTATATTTCTTCAGTGCCTAGCATAGCACCTAATACTAGTAAGTGCTCAATATATATTTTAAAAATACATGACTAACAGCCAATATGTAGCCTCCACCTCGTGGATGCTTACTCCCTGATAGGCACTACGCTGGACACTTCACACACAAGTTAAAACAATAACCCTTGGAGGTAAATATTATCATTCCAATTTTAACAGAGATTGAAAATTAAGGTCTAGAGAAGGTAACTGTCTCAAAATATTAATATGCGAGGGCTTCCAGCTTCTGCCTTTTCCTTTGCTGTCTTTGCTTCTTTCCCTGACTCACTAAGGAGAAAAAGATAAAAGCCAAGCTCATGAATTCTTGTAGGAAAAACAAAAACAGAGCAGAAACCTTATCATCCTTAGGGCATTGTGCATAAGGGTGGGGGTGGGAGGAGTCAGGGCATGCCTTGTCTCCTTGTCTGGATCATGCAGGACTGTGCATGGGTAGAGGGGAGGGGAATTCAGAGAGCAAGATGGCGGGCATAGGACAAAGTGGACAGGAGAGTGAAATTGGTAGGGTAGAAGAGAGCGCCTGGGGAGTTCGTAAGAGCTTCTGTCACCTAAGTATTTGATTCTCTTAAATGTGTGGTAGGCAAGTGTGTCAAGAGTGAAATTGCTGGGGGGTGGGGGGGGACAAGTGCTTCTCTCAACATGGCCATGTACCTGGTTTGACTAGAGCCTCCAGGATTTCTAGACATTTCAGTCTGCATTGTAGTAGATTGAAAGATGTCTCTATGGCCATAAAATGTAACTCTGCCACTGATTCCATTAGGACCTCCCTGTGGACCCCAGGCTGCTTCTCTCATTAACTTTTTTTAGGCTTATTTCTGTCCTAGTCTCAAAGGTCTCTGTACTCAAATTAGCAGGCCTCCAATCTGGCTTATTGCCAGTTACCCAAGATTTGATGCCCTCTGGCCAACTATCTGGCAAAGGCACTGGACTTGAACACTGGTTGTCTTTCTTGTCTTATAAGGGCTTAAAACAAGTTAATGTCCTCAAGTTCACTTTTCCTCCTTTGTAAAATGTGAGTAACATCCACCCCTACTAGTTGGTAAGGTGCTGTGAGAATTAACTGAGATTAAGATCTATATAAGTGATTATTAGTCAAGTTTATCCCAGCCATTTAGCTTTGAAAACTTGTCATTCATTCATTTAACAAATACTTACTGAGCACATACCATGTAACAGGCATTGTTATAGGTCTGGGTTGATAGCAGCAGACAAAATTGATGCTGGACAATCTCCCTGCCCTCGTGGAACTTGCATTCTAGTGGCAGGAGACAACCTATAAACAAACAAAACACATAGTACATCAGAAGATGACGAATGCAATGGAGAAGAGAGAAGTTGGGAAACCAGGATCACCAGTTTAAATACAGTGATCAAGGGAGGCCTCCTGAGAAAATAAGTTAAGCAGTAACCTTAAGGAGCTGAGGAAGCCAGGGCATGGGGATATCTGAGGGAAGAATGTTCTAGACCAACATGAACCACTGGTGGGGGTTTGCAGAAGATCCTTTGGATTGCTTGGATTTTTTTCCAGCGAGATGGGACACAAGGTCATTGGCCCCGGAAGGACAGGGAAGAAGTAATTCCCACCCCCCTTTTTTCTTTGCCATGTAACCAATTAACCACTCTTCTGTCACTTCCAACATTGGACTGTTCCCTGCGTCCCTCCCTCATTCCCATTGCTACCATTTTAGTTGAGTTCAAATCACAGTATCAGTGTTGTAGTCTCTCAGCCACCAACCTCCTTCTGTTGCAGTCTGCTAACTCTTCCTAAAATACTTGTGCCCTGCTCAAGACCCTTCCTGTGCTCCCTATTGGAAAGGATGAAAGTGACTTTTTCAGCGAGGGCTTCGGGTCTCTGTAAAACACCTCTTTGTTCAGTGGGACTGGCCATGACATCCCACTGTGCCCCAAACTGCCACCCTTACTCCTGCTTCCATACCTCTCCTTGCACAAACTAGCTCTGTGACTCAAGAGAAACCACAGACTTCTCTACGTCTTGTTCTCCTCATCTGTAAAATGAGGATATAACGGTACATACCTTTTATGTTGTTTTTAGGATCTGATGAGATCATCACAGTAAATTATATAGAATAGTTCCTGGTATAGTGTAAGTATTCAGTCAATGTCAGCTATTCTTATTCTGTCTTAAACCTCTTGCCTCCTTCTTCCTGATCAAATCTTCCCTCTCCTCTAAGACACAACTGGCGTGTCCTCTGGCATGAAGTCTTTCTTGCACTTCCTTTCCTCCCTCTTGCTGATCTCTCACTTCTCTCTGCCTCATCTTGGCACATAACCAGAAATGCTCTGTGAATGAGAGTTTAATACCCCAGCGTCAGAATGCTTCATCTCTTCAGGTAGACTGTGAACTCTTGAGGGCAAAGGTCACGCCTCTTCACCTCCTGTGGCCCCGTTCCCTCGCAAGTTGCTGTACTACTCTCAAGGCCTCAGATTTCATAGGGGCCATTCACCTGTTCAACTTGTTGAAGAAGTAAATTCCATGTTATTTTATCTGTATTATCTGAAGCTCGTATTCCTTCTCTCTTGTGCACTGTTTCACGGTGTGTGGCCAAAAATCTGCAGCTTGGCTCAAGGGACCTCGCGGCCACCCTCTGCCAACATTTCCTCTTTCCGCCCAATTTTTTTCAGGACTGTTTTTAGTTCCACTCCCTTTTATGGCCTCATCTTCCTTTCCTCTGCATCCTCCAATATTAGAAACCCGTCTTTCCCTTCTCTTAAGAGAGCACTTACCCACCCAGGCCTCTTTGTTTCCTCCTTTCGTCTCTTTCCCAAGGCACCTCTGCTTTGAAGAGGCTGCTGAAAAGGAGTAGATTATTTCATCTTTTATGATCAGCAAAAGAAAAAGTAGGAGGCTTCATAAGGAAAATTGGCAAGATCTAAAGTTATTTGCATTTCATAGGAATCAAGAGTTTTCTAAGTTTTTTTTTTTTTTTAAAGAACTTTCAAATATACCACAAAAATTTGATCTGAACGTTGAAACACCTGCTGCAGACCTCAGGGCTTTGAATTTAGCAGCTTTAGTTTGGGACCAAGAAATTCTCTGAATTAGAAAGTCTTTTGCTACTAGTTGGCTTGCTGCAGCATTTCATCCCTCGGTACACTTCTCTTTCCTTTCAGAATACAGCCACGCCAAAGAGCTCGTCTGTGTGCCTGTGGATGTGACAGACACTTTGAGATGTTTTAGAGAGACGCTGGAAAAATCCAGATATCATAACAGATCAATCCGACACAGCAGAAAATTACTTTCGTTATTCCTTGCACAGACACAAGGTAAAATACTTGCTCTATATCCCTCGCTCCTTACAGGACACCACCCTGTGGACCCACCATATTCTGCCATAGGTCCCTTCTTTCCCCACCGACATGCCCACTCCCTGCTGCCCTTCACTTTCTTCTTCTTGTCTAGTGGATCACATCTTCTCTCTCACACACCTCATTCCAACCAGACTGTCTTACTCATCTGCTTTTATGCTTTCTGTGAAATGAGCATACTCCCTTGAGTAGATATAGAAACAGTATTGTTTTTGGTTCTGTACATCTATGTTCTTACCTATCTCTTTGCAAGTATGGTGCTGTAGTCTTTTTAAAAAAATTTTCGTAAGTAGATGACTTGATTCCTACTGAATTAACTAGAACCTATTACCAAAACCCTACTTTATTAGTGTCAAGGAAATAGATGCATTTTAATTTAAGCATCAACAAGATTTCTTATCAGGGCGCCTGGGTGGCTCAGTCGTTAGCGTCTGCCTTCAGCTCAGGTCATGATCCCAGGGTCCTGGGATCGAGTCCCACATAGGGCTCCCTGCTCAGTGGGGAGCCTGCTTCTCCCTCTCCCACTCCCTCTGCTTGTGTTCCCTCTCTCACTGTGTCTCTCTCTGTCAAATAAATAAATAAAATCTTTAAAAAAAAAAGAAAAAAGAAAAAAACAAGATTTCTTATTAATACCATAGACTTTCATCTTAGAGATTTCTTTTAGCTTAAAACAAGATATTCAGTATCATTGGTTACATCACGTTTATTTGTTTTCTCCCTTCTCAACATTTATTGATCTGTGAACTCAATCAAAGCAGGGCTTTGAGTGGTTAAGTGGTAACCCCAGAGAGGAAGAATATACTCAAATTTAGGTGGGGAAAAATCTTGACTTACATATGTTTAGGTTATTGAAAATTTGTTTAAAATTCTAATATATGTTTATGATCCTTGCTATTCAGATTTATTGGAATAATAAAAATAAGCTTAAAGAATAAACTTAAATTTAAAAACTTAAGGTAATTATATTTTAAAGTTATTTAAATGTAAACCTGAGATACTAATACTGAACTGATCTTTCAGAAATCTGATCAAATCTTGTTTTTACAATCACTGACAGAAGTTTTATTTATGTATGTATATATGGATGTCAGTATTGTTGTTGCTGCTGCTGGTCACCCCAAAAAAGCACTTGCTATGTCATGTACCCACAGATTTTGGTTGTATTGACTATAGACTCAAATTAGCTCTCTGTGTTATGTTTAAACTTCTTTCAATTATGGCATATATTAATAATGGTTAAGGGCATGAATAAAAAAAACAAATATAATTCCTAAGAATGGATTACACTGGTTCACCCTGCATCTCACCTGGTATTAAAATATTCTCAGCAGTTTATCCCCAGTCCTTGGGCTGCAGACTTCAAACTCCACAATAGCTTCTCTTCCTCTGTAGCTTTTGACCACTTCCCCTAGAATAGTTTTCCTTTTTTTCTTGTGTGTTCTCTGATCTTATAAAGAGAGCGATTCTTTCCCACTTTCTCCCCCTTAGGTGAGAACTAACTGTGGGTTGTTTCTACCCCAGAGGTCTCTGCCCCAGAGGCAGACTAACATCTTACTGTTGGAAGCCCTTAAAAAAAGGCAAACCCAAACCATGTAACTTCCAGAATCCCCACGAGAAGCAAAGCATTATCTTAACATTACTTTCTGGCACACTGCCCCTCTGTAGTGTTCTTTATGAAATAACAGGTAGAGAGCCCATACACACGTACCTAAGCTCCTCAGAAATGATATTAGATACTAAATTTAAGGAAACAATGTCCCTCAAACTGCAAAGAAATCTCAGCTATACACAGAATTTTTCTTTTTCCTCCCTGCCCATTTCTTCTACCTTTTCCCTCCTCATCACTTCCCCTTCTATCTCCTTTGTAAATTTCTTTTTTGGGGTGCCTGAGTGGCTAAACTCAGTCGGTTAAACAACCAACTGTTGATTTTGGCTCAGGTCATGATTTCAGGGTTGAGAGATAGAGCCCTGTGTCAGGCTCCACGTTGGTTGCGGAGCCTGCTCAAGATTCTCTCTCTCCCTCTGCCCCCCCACCCCCCTCACTAGCTCTTGTGCTCTCTCTCTAAAAAAAGTAAGTAAATAAATAAATTTTTTCCCCATGAATTTAGGAGATAAAGGAGGAATAAACAATTCGAAATTTACTACTGGAAAGGTGGAATTTTGCCTGGGGACAGAAGAGATGCATATGCCAACACCGCCCAACCTCTCTCAGGAACACTTCAGAGTTTTCAGTTCAGTGGAGAAAAGTAAACTTCCCAATTCGCAATTGGGACTCGTAATTTCCTCTTATTATGAAACCATTGGTAAGATTCATTCATTATATATTCATTTTCAGGAGGATCTTGCACATTAATGTTGAGATTGCCTTTGGGCCTGAAATGCCACCTTGAAAAGTTAGATGAAAGAGCTTGAACTTCGAATCTTGTAGGCAGGGCCAGAGCAGTGTTGGGACAAGAGCCTTCCAGCCCCTCCCAGTCTCCACTCTCCCAGCCTGGGTTGTCAGCATGGTGAGGTTCTAGGCCCCTCTTCTGCTTATCCTCCTTTCAATGAATCTGTGAACCCCTTGTTGGAATGTGGCCACTCTTGTGTTCTTTTGCTCTGCCCTAGCTGATCCCACTTTCCTTGTCTTTCTGTTTGATTTGGCTTTTCTACAAATTCAGCAGAATATACTCAATCCATGTTGTAGACCCAACATCCCCCTTTTTTTTATAACAGACATTTAATAATTCCCCCCTTTACTTCCTGAAATAAAATGTATATTTAATACAGTCTCTCTACACACATTATTTAATACAATAAATATGAAGCTCTAAATATAAAATAAAGGTAAATAATATTATTTTATAACAAAACAATCTATTTGTGGCACCTAAGTGCTCAGGCACTAGAGAGTCTAGTGAAGCAGGATGCTCATATCCTGTGTGTTGAATCACCATGAACGTTATAGCTACAAATACGGAGTGAAACAGCTTAGTTGTATTGGTGACGCAAGTGCTATCAGCACTGTTAATTTTAGTGACAGTGTTTTTCTAAAATGGCAAATAGATCTAGGTGCAGTATACAATAAATCACTACAGTGAGTGTGGTTGCATTTCTGGAAAATTCAGAGAATTTTGAAAACATGCAAAAATGCCCTATTTGTATGTAAAATGAAGTTAGAGGTTAGACTCAGGCAATTATAAACAGGTTTCTCAACTTTTTCTTCATTGTAGGGGAAGCTTCTGTGTGTTACAGAGCATCCAGTGTCTCTGGACAAAATGCCAGGAGATGCCCCATTGTGACAACTAACAAAAGCTTCCTCAGATTTCTAAAATACCCTGTAGGAGTCAGGACTGCCCTCATTCAAAACCACTGCCTTGTTGGTTAGGTTTTGTTTTGTTTTTTGCTAGACCTCTCTGAATTTATGCATTTATCAGAAAACAAAACAAAAAAAACCAAAACCTCAGATGCTATTAAAGATGTGCTTCTTTTTGCATTTGGGCAAAGGAAAAATCTGATAAGCTGTGATCTTATCCCATCAAATGCTTCGAGGCTTCCCATCCGCTATAGAATAACGTCCACATTTCTCCACCAGGCATTTAGACGCCTCCACAGTCCTACCACTATCTCCTTCTTCACACTCCCAAGAAAACCATAGTCCAGCCACTCATGTCACGTCCATATACACCCTGCCGTTTCTCCCTAGCATGCCTCTTCTGAATTTCTCTTGGACACCACCTCCCCCTGCCTGACTCTTATTCCACTCTCCCCACATTTCCTATCTCTTAGATCCAATCTCTTCCTCCACAATGTTCAAGTAGAATATCATTTGCTCTCTTTCTGTGTATGTATCAGGAGACCTGTGAAGGCAGTATTAGTTGGAGTTAAGGACACAGTTAAGGAATGATGCAGTTTAAATATTCTTGAGAGTATGAGGAAGATATTTTCTAGGAACTGACATTTGTTCTTCTACTTGACTAAAATACAGATGTTCTCCAAGTCAGCCATCAAAGAAGTCTTAAAGTTCAGGCATTGCATGAACTCGGAAGCCTTCTCGTCTTTGCCGGAAAGAAAAGGTAGATTTTTAGGAGTCAGTGGAACAAGGGAAAACTTTTTTTGGTTGTTTATCGGAAAGCATTTTTAAGTATTATGAAAAAATTGTCTTTCATAAATTTTAGCTCTTCGATAATATTCCATTGCTACATTTTATTCACCAAATGCTACCTGAGAGAAACAGTTATGAGCAATAAATGGTACAGATTCATTCTCTAACATTTCAATTAAAATACTTCTTCAGTGCATTTGCTTCCTCTTTTGGAAGATAGATTTAATAACATCGACCTTGAAAAACATGCTGCTTGTTGCTTTGTTTTTCTTTTAGGGCTGCTTTTAGATGTTGGTGTCAAGCTCTTGATGACATATTCAAAAAAGAAGATGTGCTGTATACATGGAAAGAGTTTGGTACCTCGCTCACCGATGCCACCAAAAGCTATTCACCTCCAGGTTCCAAAGATTATAGTGAGGAATTTCTGTCAAAAGTTGGCATTTGGGGATGTTTGCAAGGAGCAGTCATATCAGCAAAGATAGCACAGTGAGTGTGGCAATGGAGTGAGCTTCCCTTTGTGGGGTGCCCACTGTGCCATGTAGAGCGCCATGCCTCAGATGCATGGGATTCTTGGACAGCTATGTCCATATCATACAAAACTATACAGTTTACTTATTTGAGATGTTTGTTATCTATGGCCATCTCCTCTCCCTATATCCCCACCCCTGGATGTGGGCCTCAACATGGGCACAAATCTTTGCTTGTTCACCAGGGTATCCTGAGTGTCTAGCATGGAGTTGGCATTTAATTACTACTTGTGGAATGAATGAATGAGTGAATGAACAGTTGGTATGGAATCAACAATAACGGTGTGAAGCAGGCCAACTTGGGCCTAATTCGAGGATCTCCTACTGACTCTGGGACCCTTGGCTCACTGCTCATTCTCTCTGAAACTCAGTGTTCTCATCTGTAAACTGTGGTGGCAAGAATTACATGACATACTATATTAGTTTGCTAGGGTTGCCATAACAAATGACCAGTTGGTAGGGAATTTATTGTCTCACAGTTTCTGGAGGCTTGAATTCTTATCTAAGGGTATTGGTAGATTTGGTTTCCTTTGAAGCCTCTCCTTGTAGATGGCTTTCTTCCTGCTGTGTCCCTATGTGGTCTTCCTCCATGCATGTCTGTGGCCTAATCTCCTCTTCTTAAAAGGACATCAGTCGTGTTGGATTAGGGCCCACCCTAGTGACCTCATTATAACCTAATTGCCTCTTAAAAGGCCCCATCTTAGTCACATTCTGATGTTATTGGGGGTTAGGACTCCAACATATGAATTTGGGGGGGCATAATTTAGGTCATAATGCATACTGATTAGTTTCCTAGTTCTGTAACAAATCACCACAAAAGTCGTGGCTTAGAACAACACAGATTTATTATCTTACAGTTTGGGGGGTCAGAAGTCCTAAAATCAGTGCCTTAGGAGGGTTGTGCTGTCCTCTGAAGGCTCTAGGGAAGAATCTCTTTCCTGGTCTTTTCCAGCTTGTCTTGTTATTTTTCCCTCTCTTCCCCTATGATCCTCTGTTCTGTTTCTTAAATTTCACATACGAGTGAGATCATATGATAATTGTCTTTCTCTGATTGACTTATTTTGCTTAGCGTAATACCCTCTAGTTCCATCCATGTCATTGCAAATGGCAAGATTTCATTTTTTTGATGGCTGAGTAGTATTCCATTGTGTGTGTGTGTGTGTGTGTGTGTGTGTGTATACCACATCTTCTTTATCCATTAATCTGTTGATGGACATCTCTACTTTTTCCATACTTTGGCTATTGTGGACATTGCTGCTATAAACATTGGGGTGCAGGCACCCCTTTGGATCACTACATTTGTATCTTTGGGGTAAATACCTACTAGTGCAATTGCTGGGTCGTACGGTAGCTCTATTTTTAACTTTTTGAGGAACCTCCATACTGTTTTCCAGAGTGGCTGTACAAGCTTTCATTCCCACCAACAGTGTAGGAGGGTTCCCCTTTCTCCACGTCCTCGCCAAAATCTGTTGTTTCCTGACTTGTTAATTTTAGCCATTCTTACTGCTGTGAGGTGGTATCTCACTGTCGCTTTGATTTGTATTGTGATGTGGAGGATTTTTTATGTGTCTGTTGGCTATCTGTATGTTTTCTTTGGAGAAATATCTGTTCATGTCTTCTGCCCATTTCTTGACTGGATTATTTGTTCTTTGGGTGTTGAGTTTGGTAAGTTCTTTATAGATTTTGGAGAAGAGCCCTTTATCTGATAAGACATTTGCCAATATCTTCTCCCATTCTGTCAGTGGTCTTTTGGTTTTGTCGACTGTGTCCTTTGCTGTGCAGAAGCTTTTTATCTTGATGAAGTCCCAATAGTTCATTTTTACCTTTGTTTCCCTTGCCTTTGGAGATGTGTCTAGCAAGAGGTTGCTGTGGCTGAGGTCACAGAGGTTGCTGCCTGTGTTCTCCTCTAGGCTTTTGATGGATTCTTGTCACACATTTAGGTCTTTAATCCATTTTGAGTCTATTTTTGTGTATGGTGTAATAAAATGGTCCAGTTTCATTCTTCTGCATGTGGCTGTCCAATTTTTCCAACACCATTTGTTGAAGAGACTGTCTTTTTTTTCCATTGGATATTCTTTCCTGCTTTGTCAAAGATTAGTTGACCAGAGTTGAAGGTCCATTCTTGGGTTCTCTATTCTGTTCTATTGATCTATGTGTTAGTCCTAAGAGGGAAGTATATAGCAAGGAACAAGAAGGACTCAAATACACCACCTAACCTTACACCTAAGGGAGCTGGAGAACGAACAGCAAATAAAGCATAAACCCAACAGTAGAAGAGAATTAATCAAGATTAGAACAGAAATCAATGAAACAGAAGCCAAAGAAACGTAGAACAGACCAATGAAACTAGGAGTTGTTTCTTCGAAAGAATTAATAAGATTGAAAACCCCTGGCCAAACTGTGGAAAGAGCCAAGATGTCCATCGACAGATGAATGGATAAAGAAAATGTGGTATATATACACGATGGAATATTATGCAGCCATCAAAAGGAATGAGATCTTGCCATTTGTAACAACGTGGGTGGAACTGGAGGGTGTTAGGCTGAGTGAAATAAGTCAGTCGGAGAAAGACATGTATCATATGACCTCACCGATATGAGGAATTCTTAATCTCAGGAAACAAACTGAGGGTTGCTGGAGTGGTGGGGGGTGGGAGGGCTGGGGTGGCTGGGTATTGGCATTGGGGAGGGTATGTGCTATGGTGAGTGCTGTGAATTGTGCAAGACTGTTGAATCACAGATCTGTACCTCTGAAACAATGCAATATATGTTAAGAAAAAAAAAGAAGAAGAAGATAGCAGGAGGGGAAGAATGAAGGGGAGTAAATCGGAGGGGGAGACGAACCATGAGAGACGATGGACTCTGAAAAACAAACTGAGGGTTCTAGAGGGGAGGGGGGTGGGGGATGGGTTAGCCAGGTGATGGGTATTAAAGAGGGCACGTTCTGCGTGGAGCACTGGGTGTTAGGTACAAACAATGAATCATGGAACACTACATCAAAAACTAATAATGTAATGTATGGTGATTAACATAACAATAAAAAATTAAAAAAAAAAGAAAACCCCCAGCCAGACTTATCAAAAAGAAAAGAGAAAGGACCCAAATAAATATAATCATGAATGAAAGAAGAGAGATCACAACCAACACTGAAGAAATACGAACAGTTATAAGAACATATTATGAGCAACTATATGCCAACAAATTAGGCAATCTGGAAGAAATGGATGCATCCCTAGAAACATATAAACTATCAAAACTAAAACAGGAAGAAATAGAAAACCTGAACAGAACTGTAACCAGCAAGGAAATTGAAGCAGTAATCAAAAATCTCCCATCAAACAAGAGTCCAGGGCCAGATGGCATCCCAGGGGAATGCTATCAAGCATTTAAAGAAGAACGAATACCTATTCTTCTGAAGCTGTTTCAAAAAGTAGAAATGGAAGGAAAACTTCCAACTCATTCTCTGAGGCCAGCATTACCTTGATTCCAAAACCAGACAAAGAATCCAACAAAAAGGAGAATTACAGACCAATATCCCTAATGAACATGGATGCCACAAGTCTCACGAAGATACTAGCCAGTAGAATCCAACAGTACATTAAAAGGATTATTCACCACGACCAAGTGGGATTTATTCCTGGGCTGCAAGGGTGGTTCAACATCTGCAAATCAATCAATGTGATACACTACATTAATAAAAGAAAGGACGAGAACCATATGATCCTTTCAATAGATGCATAAAAAGCATTTGACAAAATACAGCATCCTTTCTTAATTAAAACTCTTCACAGTGTAGGGATAGAGGGAACATACCTCAATATCAAAAAAACATATATGAAAGGCCCATAGCAAATATCATTCTCAATGGGGAAAACTGAGAGCTTTTCCCCTAAGGTCAGGAACACGGCATGGATGTCCACTGTCACCACTGTTGTTCAACACAGTACTAGAAGTCCTAGCCTCAGCAATTAGACAAAAAAATAAATGAAAGGCATTCAGATTGGCAAAGAAGTCAAACTCACTCTTCACAGATGACATGATACTTTATGTGAAAAACCCAAAAGACTCCACCCCCAAATTACTAGAACTCATACAGCAGTTTAGCAAAGTGGCAGGATATAAAATCAATGCACAGAAATCAGTTGCATTTCTATACACTAACAATGAGACAGAAAGAGAAATTAAGGAGTTGATCCCATTTACAATGGCATCAAAAACCATAAGATACCTAGGAATAAACCTAACCAAGGAGGTATAAGATCTGTACTCAGAAACTATAGAATACTCATGAAAGAAATTGAGGAAGACACAAAGAAATGGAAAAAACATTCCATGCTGATGAATTGGAAGAACATATATTGTTAAAATGTCTATGCTACCTAGAGCAATCTATACATTCAGTGTAATCCCTATCAAAATATCATCAACTTTTTTCATAGAGCTGGAACAAATAATCCTAAAATTTGTATGGAACCAGAAAAGACCCAGAATAGCCAAAGGAATGTTGAAAAAGAAAACCAAAACTAGTGGCATCACAATTCCAGACTTCAAGCTCAATTACAAAACTGTCATCAGCAAGACAGTATGGTACTGGCACAAAAACAGACACATAGATCAACGGAACAGTGTCTTATACCTAGTTAGCACTGACAGATATCTTAAAGACTTGAGTAATGTGAGAAATTTAAAAAGTATGGAAGGAATAGAGGTAGTTTTCTTTCACCTTTCCAGGTACATTTTCCCTTATCTATAGGGTGTGGTGGGCAAAAACATGCATAGTATCTCGATATGTAGAGAAAATTAAAAATTTTCTATATATGGGAAAAATCTAGAGGGAAATTAGCCAAAATGTTATCAGTAATCATGTTTAGGTGGTAGGCTTATTGGTGATATTTCATTTTGTGTTTTATGTTTTTTGTGTGTTCTAGATCTTATATAAGTGTGTAGCACTTTTAGAATCACAAAGTCTATTTTAATTTTGGAAAATCTATGAGTATTTATATGTATGTATTTATATATGTATGTATGTATATAGATGTATTTATATAAAAGTATTATTGGAAAATTGTCCATGAATCCATTTCTTTTTTGTTATACTTATTTAGATTTATTATGATCTCGGAGGTTGACAAGAGAACAAACTGTTGCATTTTGTCTGCGTTACTCTTTCAGGTAACACTTAATGTGTATCTTCTGACAGTAGTGACCATTCAGTCAGAAAAAAAAAAAGTGCAGTGGTTTATCGTAGTCAAAAAACTCATAGGTAGGAAGATAGCACGGACCTTGATGAGATATCATGAGTCCATCTTTCCTTCAACTAGCTGAAGGTGGCATTTTTACCTTGACTATTCAGCAGAATCTCTTTCTCCTTTAGACTCTGGAAGGAGGTTTGCAGATAAGGAAACTGAGTCTCTCATCATTAGTAAGACTGTGTTGCTAATGAGCTGTGAAGCCAGTCTGTTTAACTCCAAATGGTGGCCTTAGGTTATCTCATCTCTAATTAAAGTTTTGCTCGATTGCACAATGTGAAGTATACCATATAATGAAAGCAAGAAATAAATTGAAGACTACAGAAGTAGAGAGTGTTGGCAGCTCTTAGAATTTTGGTTTGACTTCATTGAAGAAGAAAAGAGCTTTTATCTGAAATATAAGACATTTTGAGATACAGGGAGGTAGCCAGGGGCCTTTGCCATCTACTAAAGGTTCTATTTACCTTGAAGGGTGGACACGCTTGTTCTGTGTATCAGAGGCCTCTGATAGCTTATGAAATCTAGATAGATAAGCTCTCTGGAAAGCCTTTTCTGGATGTAAGGCCAGACTTTCCAGTTTTCTTATGCTCCATACACCTCTTGCCTGTGCTTTAAAGAGAGGAGGTGGAGGAGGCAAGAGTGCAAAGGGCATGATAATCTGATTCTGACTCCTTATATTGCATTCTTTACTGTCTGATACTGCTTGTTCTTGAAGATAATACTGTTGTTTTAGAAAATAAGCAATTTAAAAAATTAAATTTTTGCTTACTGTGGGCATAATTTTGTGGTAATACTGCACCTAAAATAAAAGCTGGTAAGATTTATTTAAAAAATCTTAATTTTTTTATGATTTTAAAGCAGATTTGTAAAATTAAAAATTTAAACAAGTGCATAGTATTTTAGTGTAGGTACTTTATAACTTTAATGAACAATCTGATTAAAATTCTTTTCTGATATATACATTAAAATAATTTTGTATTATATGTCATCAGTTAATGTTAATTATTTAGGATAACATCAGAAACACTCCTAAATGTAAAATTTGATTTTGTGTATCAATTTTGTTTCCCAACATCGAATACAGTGTTGGTCATATAAATTACCTAAGAAATATTGGCAGAATTAAACAACTCATCTTTTTACTTAATTCAGTTAAAAATTCGGAATTAACTCTCTTTGATTTAGACTTCTGAAATCATCTTTTATCTCTGAAATCATTTGTTAACTTATAGGTTGGTATAGTGGAAAGAGCTTAGATTTTTTTTTTTATTTAAATAGATGTGACTTCGAATCTTCTTTCTTTCGCCATTAGCTCTGTGACCTCATATAAGTTAATTGGTTAAGCCTCAGTTATATCATGAAGTAATAATCCTTCCTTCTAGAGGTAGGCTAAATGAGGATTAAATGAGGTAGTGTTTATAAAGAATTTATCAACAGTGTCCAACACAAAATTGACTCCAACAAATGATAATATAATGATAATTTCTTCTGAAAATAATAAGTATGCAACTACCATGGAATTTAAAAGGCCCATCTTGAGTGATGATGGAAGCATTTGGAACTATAATGATGATAATGTTAATGATAAGTACCGTTTATTACAAGGTACAGTGTGCTAGGCATATGCTAAGCACTTTAGGAAGTAATACGTATACTTATCTTTTTGTTTTGGTGTTGCAAATGCAATTTATAGCTCTTCATTTCACCTGTTTTCATTTTCAGGGTTTGCTTAGAACCACACTTCCACACCCCAAAGCTAAGCATTGCTATGCTCAGTATGAAATCACTCAGCTTCTCCCAGGCATCGAGCTCTTCTCAGACAGATACAGGGCTGATATTTGCTCTGTAGTCGCAAGTCTGTATTACATTATACGTGAACTACACTATGCTAAGCAAAATCTAATAGTAAGTTATTTGTAAAATCAACAAATTTTAATTCACTGTGGTATTTTTGCCTTACCTTAAACCTTTCAAATTTTGCTAAAGCTCTCTTGGCTGGTCTTGTTTAACTCTCAAACTCTAGATTCAGGATTCTTATCTGTACTTCAAAATAAAATATATTAATTAATATTCCTTCTTTGACATCATTATTTGCACTGCATTTTGGATACAAAGTCAATGTCTGTTTGATTTTGTTCCCTTTTTACTTTATTACTTTATCTCTTTTCTTCCTTCTTAAGACAGTTGGGGAAATTGATCAGAATATTTCCCTGGTCTCAAACAGAGGAACCTAGTGCACATGGAACTCATTGCATTAACTGGTGCAGGTCATATCAATACCCAAACTATGAGAGTATTTCTTTGTGGAGATAAATTGATCTTTGGTCTCTTGTCTTCTCCCTGTTCTAAGTGAACAACAGATTCAAACTGTGAAATGAAAGACAAATACTTCTTAATATCCAAGGACATTCAAAACCTCATACAATTCTCTTCCTTTGGGAAAATAAATCACAGTATATGTCATAAATTTGAAGTTGGTTGCTTTTAAAAAATAAATCAGTATGTTCTGGTCATTTTATATTTTTCTCCTTTATTTTATTTTTCCTATTTATTTCCTATTTTCCTATTTTCCTCCTATATGTTATTTCTTCTACATTTGTATCTCTCCCCCACCATATTTGCTTCTTAATACCTATTCTTTCTTTTTTTGGTTCTTTCTTTTTTTTCCATAATTTTCATACCTACTTTCTTTTTTCCCTCATATTTTGTTTTCTTTTCTCTTGTTCTAAATTCACTCTGTCTTTATATTTAAAAGGTTTATTGTCCCCTGATATGAGTTGTTAAATTATAAAGCCATGTGTTAAAGGGAAGAGATTGATAAATGCTTTTAACACTTGGCATATTTGGCAAGAAATTTTTTATTAGGAAAAGATAACAAAATGGTACTCCTCTCATTGTCAAGGGGATTCACTTCTGGATTTAGAAAATAGTTCTATCTCCTGGGTAACCTTTAGCTGCCTAGTCTCATATATAATACATATCACTGCACTGGAAAAGAAATGAGACTTTTTTTCTCTGAAGCTTAAGAAATTGAGAACATTTTTCTGAATAATTGAGCAATTGGCAGCATTAAAGTGGTGTTTTTTTATTTCTCACTAAAGAAAAGAAACAATCTCAAAGGTAATAGCCAACTCTTATTGTTTTGTGCTGCATTAATTGTAGAAAAAAGATATTGTGTTATGTTGTAGTGCATAATTGTAGAAAAATGTACTATGTTTGAAATCATTTAAGACCAGTTCTAAACCGTTTAAAAAGCTGTTGCTATTAGTAGCTGCCAGTTGACTGACAATTAGAGGTTCCTTAGCTGAACTTGCAAGATGTAAACAGTTTCTATTTTGTATCACACTACCATGCAGAAGAAGCCCAGTGAGTAAGGAGACTGCTGTCACATACAGAACTTGCTGGGAGACCCATTGCTGTGGAATCATGGGAAATTGTTTACTAAATAATGGGGATCCCAATACTCTTCCTTGTTCTATCTCCCTTTAGTAGAGAAGGGCCCAGTTGTAGGAACCAAGCTTGGGTTTTCAGTTGAGATCAGAAACTGTTCAGAATTCTAGGCAAACACCTATCCCCTCAACACCTGACTCTGGCCGGATAGTGGTTGGATCAACCGCAGTATGGATAGTTTGTACGGCTTCACCCATACCCACGAGATTTCAAGAGGAGTTGAACTTTGGGGGTTAATTCTAGGAAAATAAAAATACTATGTGAAGAGTAAGCTTGGGTCATCAATAAAATATGTGCTCTGTGAAAGCAAGGACTCATTAGATTTTGTTGTCATTCAACAGTGCTTGATACATAACGAGCATGTTATAAATATTCTTTTGCTGATTGAGATATTCCAGTTGAAAACAAATAGCAGCTTCCATGACTGAGTAGGTGACATGGATTGGAGTTCCTTTGCTTTAAATTTAGCGGTTATTTGATAGCTCATTTGCTAGAATGTTTCTACAGGCCTCAGTGATTCATACATATGTGTTAAATTAATTTTTTTCAAGGAAGATAATTGATTGGATTTTCACTCTTCCATGCTTGAAGAGATTTGGAACCTAGGTGTGGGGTACCAGGTGGCATCTACAAGTCCCCCTGATGCCACTTTTAAGTTCTCATAAAATTACAAAGCATATGCTAGGCAGATCATTTCACTTAGCTAAACAGTATAGTCTCTTAGCATGGCAGAATCAATTGCTGTTTTATGTAACATCTCCCACATTAATATTTGGCTACATTTTATTACTAGGTTATTAACTTGATAAAACATGTTTTAGATTAAAAAAATGTTTTTACCATTGGTAGATTCTGCCTCTCCTTGCATTGTACCAATATTTTGTGTCTGGAATTTGCCAAGACCTCGTCAGAAATCTAGAAGCAAGGATCCTCAAGGTATGTGACAAACTTTTAAGATGTTTGATATTCTTGAACTGTAAAGATACTGTCATAAATTAATTTGGTTCTAATACTCATAATAATAAGCTGATAATAATATGGTGTTGTGCTGATATTAAAAAAACATGCCCATTATTATAATAAAGTATGAGAGGGAGCTAGTTAGAATCGTTAGCTTGTTTTATGCTTGGGCCACAGTAAAGTGAGGAACAGCGACTTGTGGGAACAAGGCTCGTTCAACATCAGTCAGCCTGGAAATCACCTCTTTTGGAATGTTGGTTTCCTGGTGGAAACTAATGAGTCTGTTTTCTGACATTTCTGTGAACTTTTTGCGAAGGGTCTTTGTGTATATCATAATATGTGAGAAGTTTTCATTATACAGGCAATTGAAGTGACAAAACACACAGATGCTAAATTATAACTAATTCTGTAACCTACAAGTCAGGTGAGGCTCTCTGTCTTCAAGATCCATGTACAGTTGGCTTGAACCCCATGTGGACTGGGAACATCAAGCACCTCATTTTCTTTACCCTTTTCCTAGTTAGCTATGGTCACAGTCTCTCACTTCTGTTAATTTGTTTTGCACGTGGATCATCTCAACATCCAGCAGACTTACTCCCTGTTCTGCACCTCCTCATCTTGAATATGGAATTCAGTCCTAATCCACATTCTATACACACACACACACTCACTCACTCTCTTACACATAAACATACACAACACATTCACCTAAGGCCTTTATTTTCATACTGGATTTAGTGAAAATTTGGAACACAGGAAAATTTAAGTTGAGGAAAAGCAAACAATTTAAAATAGAATATTTGGCATCTCTGGGTTTAAAATATTTCTTAGCCAACATCTCATGCTTTTGCCTCCCATCCCATGGCTTAATCAGCTGTGTGCTGATAAGTGTTTCACACCTCACTCTAAAAAAAAGCCCTGATTTGTAGCACTTTCAGTTTCCATGGTGCAAATATTCCCACTAGAGCTGACTCCAGCCTACCAGCTGGGCATTACTGAGTGTGGAACCGGGACAAGATATGGACGGTCTCCTCTTGCATTTGGGAGTAAGTGGCTCCCTCACACCGCTGGCTTACCCCTCCTTATCCCATTTTGTAAATACCCTATACCTCTCTTCCCCAAATCTTTCCTATTTTCTTATGAGGGAAAATTAGACTTCCCTTTGAACTCCTCTCTCTATCTGGACCCTGCCCTTGGGCCTATGATTTCAGACCCAAAGAGTCCATAACATTCTATTTCTAAATAAAAACAGTACCTTCCCTAAGAGGAATTCTGGTGCTAACTATTAAGAGGATATACTTTAACTCAGGAATAAATAACTGTTTGTCAGCCATGAAGATTTCTGGATCACTCTTTCTGACTTCCTGAACTCTTAAGAATTCTCCTGCTTTTTGATTTCCAATAACACTTTTTTAAAAACGGCATATAACTTCCCTCTCTCTTTTAAAAACAGTGTTCTGTTCAAGACTGCAAAATTCCTGAGGTTAGGGCCTGAATCTTATTCATCTTTTAGTCCCCTATTGTATCTTGAATAATAAATTCATATATCGATACTCAGTAATTAATTATTGAATTGATTTTAAAATCTATAGACATTTATCAAGTGCCTACTGTCCACACTTTCCATAGTGTTTAGTGGGAACTCATCTAGAAGTTCCTTGGTAAATATTTATTGCTTTACCTCTGAAACAACATTTATTGAGTATCTCCTATGTAAAAACACCATGTTCGTAACTAATCAAAGAAATGTAACCCATGGTCCTTGCTTATAAGGAAGTGAAAATAAGGGAAGAAAGACAGTACATATAAACAAGACAATAACACGTGCATCTATCCCTTGATCATTTCCAAATGAGTATCATGAGCACCGTCTCCTGGGGTTTGAAAGAGGGAAAATGGCTTTGGGTCTCTAGGTTTTACCAAGTAGGTAAGATTTAGTGAAGAAAGCAGAACTAACTGAGCAGAAGAGAGGAAGAAGGGAACATTCTTGGCAGGTAATAGTGTGAAGCATATAGAGATGAGACAGTATGGACTTGTTAAGGGGGCCGGGGTGGTTCAGTGAAGCCAGAGAGGAAGTTTTGAGGAGGGAGAACATAATATGAGAATACCACAGATCCATGTTGTGGTCCATGATGTCCATGAGCAGCGGGGTCCAGTCCTGAATTCCAAACTAAGGCATAATGTGGAGGCTGAGCAGTGAGAGAATTGAGATTATGGAATCAGAATTGGGTAGCTGTTTTGTTCTGGTCTGTCATTTAGAGGCCGGAGAAGCAAGGAAGGGTTGCAGTGACCATTAGTAAAGTGTCAGAAGGAGATCCAGAGAGGCACTAAAAGATATAATCTGGAACAAAGTTTTTGATTAAATGACCGTGTTTTATTGGATTGTTAGCACTTGGCAACTTTTTGTACTAGGGTAGCTTAAAAGCCCGTGAAGAACTGTGAACTCTAGTCTGCAGCCTTGGGTTGAGAGGTGGGATGAATTGCAGAATCTTGGTCAGAAGAAGGACACGATCGGATGTATCGTGGCAAAAGTGTCAGGAGCAGAGTGAGTCGGAAGTGGCATCTTATTGGCAATAGTAGAACAGAAACACCCAACCAGGGTTTTGACAGAAGCAATGAAAAAGGGCAACTGACGCATCACCCAGAGGGAGAAATGACAGCCTGTTTGGGTAGAGTTTGCCTGACCTTTCTGAAGTAAACTGGGGTCAGTGAGTGGGAAGAGAGAAAAGTCATAGTCAGGAAACAGCAAACAGTGTTTTCTGACAAGTCAAACAGCAATAGATCAGGCTGTTAAGTTTCTGTTGTGCACTAGTGTCTTTCAGGGGAAGCTTTAAGACCTCTTTATGATCAGCCGGTCTGGCTTCACTTTAGAACTGCCAACATCTTGAAAGATTTATTAGTCTCAACATATCCAGCATTCCTGGGAAGGCCACTGATGGTTCTGTATTTGTGCAAGTGAAGGGTTGATTTAAGGGTAATTCTTTTATCCATCTGGCTTGTTTATGTTCACACTGTTAGTCATTTCTGAAAATACATGTTCATTGTTATCACCATTGCTTTTTCAAATGGCCGGATTAGTATGATAAACCAAAACAGAGGTAGCCTTAGAGGTTACAGGTAGTTCTTGTAGAGGTGTCCCACAGCCAAGATCAGCGGAGACAAACCTCACACAGCATTTCCTCCAAGGGATAATGAGAAAGTGTTCATCTAGAAGTCTAAAAGAGCTCCACTAATGCCTACTTGGATATTAAATGGCACTGGGGAGATTAGAGCCCAAGGTATTTTAGGCAAGAACCAAAGTGTGCAACTCAGGAGACAAGGAGAGTTTTCTCTTCCCCATTGCAAATATTCTCCTAACCTTTTATGCTTTATTTTCACGCTATTGTCATATCCTATTTCCTCCTAACTTACCTTCTTTTTATTTCTTTAAAATTTATATGCTCTTTATTGCATGGAGCACTGGGTGTTATACGCAAACAATGAATCATGGAATACCACATCAAAAACTAATGATGTAATGTATGATAACTAACATAACATAATAAAATAAAATTTAAAAAATTTATATGCTCTGAAGTTTCCTATGGTAGTACTTAAAGGAAAAGAGATAATAAGTGTATGTGTCTGTATTATATATATTTTATATATATATATATATAAAATAAAGGCCACGTGACCTTTGTACTTGATTGAGACCTCTCAGCAGGTTTTCACATGTCTCTCTTTCATGTCATTCCCCAGTTTTCTCTTGAATGTCTCTCAGAGAAGTCCTTCTTGACTGGAGCTCTGAAAGTAGCATTTTTGTCAGTAGCCTCTATCCCTTATAATACTGTGTATATCTTCATGTATCACTTAAATTAGCTCAATACACATCTGGGAAGGGATGTAACACCCAAGAGGGCTTGGTGGAAATGCCCAATAAACACGTTGAATGAATGAATGAGTTTTGTTCAGGAACTTTTCTTCCCATAATTTCCTGATTGAAAGTCCTGCTGGATAATATTCAAAATAAGCCATGTACAATTTATAGTTACCAACTGATTAACTTTAAGGATATGTCTTTAAAACTGACAGTGTGCATTAATTATGGATGACAAAACAAATAGTTGTCTCTATGTTGATACATTATAGAGTTCATCAGGTTGGTTTGACTTTCCTCAGAGTATTAGAGAACATCAGGAGTGTTTTTGTTTGTTTTTCTTTTAAACCATAGTTCACCATGGGAACAAAAAATAAATTCAATTATTTTTTTTAACTGTTCTATGCCTATCATATTTTTGTGTTTGCTCTGATGAAGTAAGACACATCTGACAAATGTCCATTGTTTTGAACAGTTGCTTGCTGTTGTTTATTAGCTTCCTGGTCCATTGCACATGTAAACTAGCTTACACACAAACACATACATCTCCATTGTGTTTACCAAGCATTAATTTATAAGGCATTACCATTTATATTAAGCAGAAATTTTGGATCTCAGAAAATTGATTTTTCTCTAAAATTTTTATTTTGTAAGTAAAACAAATTATTTAATTAAAATCTCATTTTTTTCTCCCTTCCTTTAAAGATTCAGGTCCTTACAGATTTAAGATTTTTTTCTGAAGCCTTTTATGAGATATCTCAGATTTTTTATGGAAAAAACATGCCTTCCTCGATACCCTCTGGCTGTAAGGCTCCTGGAAAAGTGAAGGTAAATCTGCTGCTCTGATTCAAAGCCATTTCTTTACCTTTTTGAAGGCTACATTCTTCAAATTTAGGGAATGTTTCCACAAAAGTGTATTTACAAGTCTCTGGTACTGCAAACCTCTTTGTTAAGCCTTGTTATAGCTAACCATAGGCTCTTACAAGGTTTCATTGGTCTGGAAGGGAAGGGTGTCATGTGGGGGAGTACGGCATTGGAGTCAATTTTTATGATCTCTATGTTACAGACGGTCTCAGTGGACACATCAGCCACTACCTCTTGGACTTTGGCATCTAATATGATAATTTCTGGTTAATGTTGTTAGTCAAAACAGTCTCTTCTCATGTTTTATTTGGATATTTTGATTTATATACTTTATACCGGAATGTTAAACATGCATTGTTCAAATTGTATTTGTAAATGAGATCACTGAAACATCCTTGCAAATGAATACTGGCATTTATATTTAAATCAGAGTGAGCTGTTATTTTCTTGTTTTGGGTTTCATGAGAATCACTGAGTGATCTTGCAGAGGCTTGGACCCTTGTGATCTAGCAATAAAGGAAATAGGAAGTAACAAGTCAGTTTCCTGGGGAAGACAGTAAGCGTGAGGAGTGAGACTGACAGACAGTACATACTGGTGGGATTCAAATTTGGAAGGCCTAGAAAAAGCTGGGGAATATGCTATCAGTCTTGAAAATTACTTGTAGAAGCTGACATTAAATATACATACAATGCATTCATTACTTCAGTGTACTCCCCTAAAATGTCACTGCTTAATTCTCAGTATGACTGATACAGCATTATAATTTGTTGTACCAGGGTAAGTGTGAGGTTATCTAGAAATAAGCCTAAGAGGGACATTCAGTAGGCAATAGGATACATCTGTGTGTGTATGTATATACATCCCTATCTCTATCTCTTTCTATATCTCTCTATCTAGAGAGAAAAGAGTTAGTTTTTTGCTCATTTTTTTGGCATAAACTAACTCATCTTCTTACCTGGGTTAAATGAACAATATTTTCTTGCTTGCTTCTCAGCCAACAGCCATTCCCTATTGTAAATGATTTGCATATTAAAATTATATTTTAACTCATTTAAATATTTTATTGAATGCTTACTGAATAACAGGCACTATTTTAGCCATGGGGATTGACCAGTAAAAAGATAAATGGAGTTATTGCCTTTTTGGGAGCAATAACTTTTTGTTACTATTGGACAGTCCAGTGAAGAAGACAAACAATAAACATATTAAGCACATAAATATATGTCAGGTGATGATGTACTATGAGGGACAGTCAAGCTGAGCTGCGGGGACAGAGAGTGATCAAAGCAGTGGGTTTTATTCAAAGTGGCTTGAAGTATCCC